AGACAATAAATGACTGAAACCCAGGAATAGATTTGATTTTGAGTTAAAATGATTATTAGGAGGTTGCCCTCATCTTGTTTTGACCGAAAACTTCCCGACAAATAGTTGCACCATCCGATAGACAAAAATCGCAGAAAACCGTCGGTTAAAATATCCTGTGTCCGAAAATCAACAAATGCCTGCGCATTTACATTTACATTTACCTGGAAAATGTAAGTAAATAAGAATTTTAAACACCATAAAAAATTGTGTATATTAAATGAAGTGCATCCGGAGGTTAACCCTTGAATATGCGCAAATTTTAATTAAAGTGTTTCACTATTTATTTATATTGCACTCGATGCTAAGAACGCAGTTTGTCCGAGTAAGCGTAAAAAATTACACCAAGAAAATTCCCTTCTAACACACCTCTATAAGTGAAATACGATCAACAATAATTTCAGCAAGGTTTCTCTTAAAAACTTTAATTACTCAAGCTTGATGTAAGGCTGCCCTTGGCTTAAGATAATTTAGCTTAGCAATTTATCCACTAACCCGACGTCATAATTTTCTGCAACGAATTAATTTGAATAATTTAGCTGGCGTTGGCTACCAGCTTCCGGGGATGCGATTTCATCAGTTGATTTATATTATTTTTCAAGTCGCATTTAGGAACTAAAGGACTCAATTTAGCCGTTTTAAACGCCTTCATCTCTTGCAGGCATTTACATGGCGCTTTTTACGCTATTTCCTCTCAACAACTGGGGAAATGGAGAACAACTAACTACTTTCGGGTTTAGGCAAGTAACAATAAAGAGTCCAAAACTTTATATATAAATTACAAATGTATTATCTTTAGTGGCAGTATTTATAATAACAAATTTTCAAAATTTGTGTCTTTTCCACGAAAAGGAAAACTTCAAAAATTGCACATAATAATGATGGAAATCATTTCCTGTGACATTAAACACAGTACACCTTAGCCCTTTTATCAAAATAGATACAGTCCTTATCATTGGTCAAGTATGATGATTAAAATCACGCTATCTGCATTGGGTAACTAAAACATTCCAGTCTAGATAAAATAAATACACTGATCTAGTTGAATTGTTTTCTCTCAGCGCATTTGGCCTGGAAATCAACTCATGAATTAAAATAATGCAGTGTGCAATATCAATAATTCTGTGTATTCTACATTATTTATTTTACATTTGTACAAGAATGGAGCTTTTCACAAACCAAAATATGCTATTTATCGGCATCATTTCCTCGTTATATCAAAATCAGATCTGAATAGACAAAAATATTTACAAACCGGTCGATGTTGCGAAGAACGAGCACCGATTACACTTTGACGTAAACATTCGATAATCGACCTAATTGTAAAAACAACCATGTTTGGCCACCACAAACCAAGGCGAGAAAGTCGCTTCTATTGGCCACATGATTTGTAATGTATAACATGACAACATCGACGTAAACTAATATTCAAAACTATGGCTCTCCAGACGATAAAATGAATGTCCAAAGTACCAAAAAAGGCGCAAAGTAAATTCTAAATAAGTACCTAAACGCAGGTCACTTAAGCAGGCTTAGGCGGTTCCTTATCTATTCGCATATCGTCGATTTTTGCAACGATTTTTAATGCAGGGCCCAGTTTCATCGACATCGCTGTCATCAAATGGTCCTCTTTGAGCAATAAAAGTGCTTGACCGTCGATTTCTTGAATCAGGAAATCTTCAGCGTAATCTGAACAGCCGGGAAGACTTCTGATAAATTCAAACACTTCTTGTACCTGAAAAAAAACAATCATTTTAAATCTCTATATATTGCACAACGGTAATGAGTGTGTTTCAAGAGCGGAAAATCAGTTTGATAAGTGACCTAAAATATGGAGAGAGGAGAATAATGGATGGACAGCTAAACATATTAAATAATCAAAATCATTTATAATTTTATTAAATAATCATTTTCTTGCACGGCAAAAAATGTATGCCAAGGCTTAAAGCAGCAACAACGCTACACATAAAAACTGATGATGGTGGAAAAATACACCGAAACGTATTTTAATTGATAAATAGAGACAATAAATGACTGAAACCCAGGAATTGATTTTGATTTGGAATTGAAACACAGTCAGGAAAGTATATACAATATTAAATAATACAAGGCAATGCCCGAGTGCCTGGTTATCGGCAACTTTTAGTGCTCTACCCAAAAGAACAAGACCTGCAAAAGCTTCTGAGTTATTCACGCTCGCATTAGACGCAAATATGGATTTTGACGATTATAATCTAACGCTGCTTCATTTTGCATGTATGGAAGAATGTTTCATACTCCGCGAATATAACATGTTAAAAACGCCGAAGCTCAAGTCAACTTTGAGCGACCATCAAAGCCGAGACATCATATATTGATGAATGATGTCTTCTATAACTTACACTCAACTTTATCAACGAAATTTTCGAGACTGGGCTGGTGAACTTTTCCGCATGGCAGAGGACAGGACAGTTTTCGCGATGGCGATCGCCAAAGTCAGGAAAAACGGACAGGACACATGAAGATAGATGTTTAAATACTTACGCCCCACTTAAGCGGATCTACTTTCGGAGTATTGTCGTCATCAGCTCCAGATGGACTGGTACTTTCCGCTTTACTGTTGTCAACATTCATCGGTTCCACTTTCTCAGATTTCTTCTTATCGTCCTTACTCTTCCCACTGCAAATGAAGCCAACGAATCAATAAACAGCTCCATAACAAAGTCTCAATTATTATAATGGTAACAGTCCTCTAAATTACCTCTTCGAGCAAGCAACTGAACAGAATCTCTTATTCTTCTTGAACTTTGACTTGAGATCAACCACACCGCAGGCCTCACATTTCGCCATGTCTCCTCTCGGAGATAAACTGTTGGGGGACATGGACTGCTTCTTACCTGCAATTTAATAGTATAATAAAAACCAAATTTCAAAAAGGATCATTGTTGTGGCTAAATGTTCAAGTACTAAATCGACTAGTTGTAAAATAAGCGGTCGGCAAACAACAACAACAGCTGGATGCAAAAAAGCTTGTAAACTAACATTGAAAAAACCTTAAGTGATGGCTTAATATCGGAAACTTCACAAAACTACATATTTTTACTACTGTAACTGTGAATGGCGAGCACTATAGATCGATGTTAACAGGTTTTTGCGGTCACAATTGATCGAAAAGTTTGAGTTAGCGGCTCTGCAAGATCAAAATGTTTACAAGAGATTCTCGTATGAGAGCTGATTAATTGGAGAACCATCATTGGAAATCCAGCGAATTTGCTCCTGTAGTCGAAGCCGCAGTGGAAACGTAAATGATGTGTTATTGAGACCATAAATGTATTTTAAACCACCATCGTTTATAGGAAAACCTACTTTAGAAGCCACAGTTTAAAAGATCTTTAACTGACTTACGTGAAATATCGTCATCTTGATCATTGGTTGAATGCGCCCGCTTCAGGTCGCCAACCATGCCACTTCGTGAAACAGGAAAAGGTTCGGAAGACTCCTGGATCACGAAGTCCTCGATCACATGGGTTAAAACCTGCAAACGCAAGAATGTATTCGACGAACGGATTGCTGGTGCAAGCCAGTAAATTAATTTAATAAAAATGAAGGATTCCTTACTTTGCTTACCTGAGGCTTAACCATTGCCTTTGGTGGACACCTCTCTTTCACTTCCTCAGCCGTAGTAGCAATAGGCATGGACATTTCGGATGTAGTTGGTTGATTAGGTACCGTCCCAGCATTCGGAATGTGCAGGGAAGCGACGGCATCCACACCGGTGGAACACTGCTTAGAATCTTGTCCAGGCAAACTTTCCTTTGCTTCGACTGAATTTCCTGCAAAAACACCAGGCATGAAAAGGCGTGAGGATTTGAAGAGTTTTTTCCTCCTTACCATCCGATGAACCGCTCTCTTTAAGCACAGCAGCTGTCGTGGTGACGGGCATCGCTTGGGTAGGTGAAAGTGCTTCCTGTAATAAGCTGGCACTATTGTCTTTTTCAGTAACGGCTGGTACCACAGGCGGTAAAGGAACCTAAAAGAGCAAATTGAAAAAATTAGGAAATCAGACTATGAAGGCTTTCACGGCCGGTTAAATCACATTTAGGAATGTTTTCCGGGCTTTGAAGCCGTGGTCTATGGGAATTTGTTGCGGACGTTTCGTCCACAACTGCGGTGGACATTATCAAAGGCGATGAGGCAGTGGGCGAAGTGATCTCCCGTGCCAGTCTTAGTCGGAAAGCACGAAATTCCCATAGACCACGGCTTCAAAGCCCGAAAACATTCCTAAATGTGAAAATTAGGAAATGGTGCCCAAACCGTGACAACTTAGCTAATACAAGAATCTCAATTTTCCCCAATGTATTGAAGCAAATTATTAAAGAAAATTAGCCGCTTCTCTGGGGGCTACAGCAAAGAATCTGGCTCTTGGCTCATGTGTTATGATCCTACAGTCTATATTTACCAGTTGCGGTTGGAGTTGCTGCGTCTGGTGAGGTTGATGTTGGTGTGAGGCTGCAGACACTGTAATATGTTGAAGTTGCGGCATTTGCTGTCCGTTTTGGTTGACAACTTGGGGCAGCACAGTGTGGGTTCCACCTTGTTGTTGAATTTGACCGGTCAAAATGGTGCCCTGTGATGCCATCTGTGCAAGCTGTTGCTGGAAACACAAATCGCTAGTTAGTTTTCAAAGGCCCAGGTGAACAGAAAATCTACCTCAACACTTACAGGGTGAATCTGTTGCATGTTCATTGCCTGAGTAACCAAGTTGGGCTGCAACGGGATTCCTTGTTGGATTGAACATGGAATCTGCTGCTGCAGCTGCTGCTGCACTTGTTGGACTGGAATAAGCGAGCGGTCGCCCCCCATTTGGATTTGTTGCTGCGGGATGCCTTGGATCGCTTGAAGAGCTGAAAATAAAACAGTATTCTATTAATTACCTGATACTCTATGAATCCCATTGGGAACTGCAACGAATACCTTTAGTTACATTATTCATATTCATTTGTAAAACGTCTTCATTGCGGTCTTGAGATATAACTATTAGCAGGCGCTTTTCACTCATTTTCATGCTTTAGGGGATCAAACGGTGACACTTCAGAGGTTAGAAATCGCTTGTCAAGGTTTGAAAACTGTTTAAAAAGTCGTTAATTGGCGAGTTCAAAGGTCCAGACGCCCCCTAGTGGGGGGCGTCTGAAAAATTATAACTACGATTTAAGTAGTAATTTGTCACATTTGATAGTTTTGTTGACATTAGTGTTTACATCTGCTTGAGTTTTGCTTTTGCTTTTGCAAGCTTTTAAATAAATAAAAACAGATCGAAAAGTGTGAGTATTGTTTTATGTTAAAACTGTCATCAACTCCAGTAAATAAACAAGTCTCAACTGTCACTCGACAACAAATAATTTGAAGTTTCGCAGCGCCACCATCGGTGGTTGAACTCGCGAATACAATAAGACAGATTTGCTAATACGAGTAACTAGTTTGGCGGCCATGTTTGAAACCATCTTCCACAAGATCGATCAGTGGCGTCGCATGCTTGTAATATCAATTAAATACATACGCTTAAAAGTGTACTACGGTAAAAATAGAGGTTTATGGCTGGGATCAATTAGTTAAATTGTCGACATTTGACAAAAGAATATTGTGTGTTTTTCTGAGATAATGAATAATGAATTTTGCTCTAGGTCAAAGCTGTTTTTGAAAATATCGTCAAGAAAAGTTGCGTCCACAATTCCAATGAGTAAATCATCAAAATTTGCATCTGGACATGCACAATATTCTATAAATAACTCCAGAGGAAAGAATCAAGCGGCGTTAAGTCGGGGCTATTAGGGGGCCATGGAATAACACCAGAGCGTCCAATCCAAGTATCAAAATTTTCATTTAAAAAAGTGCTACCGGGCGAAAATTCTTGATAGTCATTAACTAATATTTTTTTTTGGTTGCCTACTTACTCATCATGGGCTTCGCCTGGATTTGTTGCTGGGACTGCTGGTTTTGATGTATTTGAAACTGTTGAAGTGTTTGTTGTAAAGTTTGTTGCAATTGCATTTCTTCCTTCTTCAATACCTGTTGTTGCATGACCACTTCGGCCAATTGTTGATTAACATTCACCGGCTGATTTTGTTGCTGCTTGTTCTGCTGGTTCACCAATTTATCGGGCGTCATCGGAGAGTTGGGGGTCATTTGGGTAGCCATTCCGGTCGAGGTGTTCATCACCACCATTCTGCAAGATCCATAACTGTTTGAAATCATGACAAAGAGAGAATCAAATAGTTATGTTGCATAATTTAGAGTTAAACTGAATCAAAGTGATCAATTTACTTACTTGTTGCCGATAATGTGATGTGGTTGCAGATTCGTGTAAGACTTCATCGGAGTTTGATTGGCGGCATCCGCTTTAGGGGCGGGCGATCGAATTTGCGGCGTCTTAGACTGTCGGATCTTCGGTGCAGCTTTATTGCCCATCGTCTGCAATGAATATGTCTAAATACCAAAATGGTAATTACACATAGAACAAGATTGTAATACTTTGCTAAAAGTAAGCCCAAGTGAAGCCAACGAATTCATAAAAGTGCTAAATACGTATAGTGGGGACGTTTTTCGCTTCGAAAATTGCTCTACTCTACGCACGTTCCCACGATTTATTGGGCCAATTATTGGAGGTCACCATACGTGAGCGCAAGGGCGGATCCAGAGGGGGGGGTCATGGGGGTCATGACCCCCCCCATTCAATTCTCTATCGAACGATGCCAAAACGAATTCTCTGGCTCGAATGGTTCTTGAGAAACTTCGAAACAAACAGCGTAATGTTCAAGTGGATTTTGCAACTCAAAAAAATCCACGCAAATCTGAAACTTCTTGAATTCAAGAATTTTATGAGAAAACTGCCAACAATTCCCCTTCCATGGTTCACTCTCTAAAAAGGCCATTTATTTCTCTCTAGAATGACGTACAAGCGAGCGTTCTCGCTCATTTTGCCTCCGAGAAATGAGCAAAAATGGGACAGAAAACATGGAATTTTGGCATAATCTAATCCTAAGTGTTTGATATTGAAATTTCGCTTTCTGGGTCAAAACTACTCGAATTTCCTCATTATTTCATAAACAACAGAAGACTGTATTTTTTCTACATAACCCCCCCCCCTGACTTTAAAGCTGGATCCGCCCCTGCGTGAGCGTAGAGCGTATGCGCAGGCTCTACGCTCGACTTAGAACCTGCCAGTGGCGTTCATGCCGGAATAACACTGATTCTTTAAAAAAAAAATTGGAGCAAAAATAAAAAGTTCACAGTGTGTAAAATGAAAATGTCTGCGTAGCACTCAATTGGAACTGAATGTATTTACCAAAAAAAAAAAAAATCTACAAGACAACTACACCCATTTCGAAACAATTACTCGGATGGCACTTCACTTGAGGGTAACTTAATGAAAATAAAAGTGTAACTTACCGGCGTTTGAGCACTTATAGTTTGCGTAGAGACCGAACTGGCTGGTCGGATTGTAGCGTTGGACGGAAGTATATTCAGAGGCCGATTGGCCTGTTTAGGCTGAATATTTTCATTAATCGGCCTGTTTTGTTTGGCTGCCTGTGTAACAGTTGCTTGGGTTGCGATGGCTTCTAATTTAAGAAAAAAACGCGTTAATTCCCTTCACTCGCCCTACACTGGCTGTTATTTTCAACGTACAGAGAGTTGAAATAAAATAGACGGTTTTCTCGAAACAGCTTCATGTTTTTGTGGATTTTATTGAAATTTTGAAGAGGTATTTCCAGCATTAAGGGCCTAATTTAGGCAATATTTAACAGCCTGTCTATTGAAAAGCAATGTCCGGACCTAAACTCGTATAAATTTGTCTTCAAATCACTAAGAGAATCACCTTTTGAAGCTTGGTACTTACGATTCTGTTGAGTTTGAATGGTCTGGGGATTTTGCTGGATGAACATGCCGGGAGTGCCATCGGCTTGAGTTCCCCTGATGAAAATTGGATTGTGGGTCAGAAGGGCTTGAGATTGCAATCCATTGGTGGCCCACACTTGCGGAATCCCATTGGCCGTAAATTGCCACGGAAAACTGTTTGTCAGCTGCATGGGTTGGCCTCCAGGCTAAAAAAAAAATCAGTATTTAAAGCAAAAAACAAAGCACTAAATCACCAAATTCACAAGACCGTGCAAGGAGAAAGTGTCTAAATTAGTGCAGTCTTTGATATTAGCAAAATGCTCGTTTACTCTACTTCATCAATCAACCCACTCTAGTTAAATTCTATCAGGGTTGGCAGAGTCATAAATGCATAGAGGAAAGTTTTTACCTGTTTTTTTTTGGTGCATGTCCATAWACATGAGGCTGAATCAAGTTTAAATTGTCAGTATTTTTGAACAAMTTCGGAATCCAAAAATTCATCGAAAAAATTGCCTGCCCTCAAATCGTTCTTGAAATATCAGAAAAATGTATGRCATCAGGTTGAAAACAATGGCGTWATTTTCACCTTTTTAAGGAAAAATTGAACATTGCTTTCAATTAGAGCGTTTCTAAGGCTCTATACAGTGATTYGATTGGATGAAAAATTATCTATATCTCAAAGSGTTCTTGRGGTATCAGCAAAAAAGTGGTCATGTTTGAAACGATGATCTAATTGTGTTAAAACCGTACAAAAAAGTTTTTTTCATAAGAAATAATATGCATTTAGTGAAAAATCGTGAAAAAAAGCATCTGAAATGTTACCACACTGATAAATCTGTGCATATTCTAACAGGGTGATATTATTTCAGATTTTTTTTTAAACATTTTCACCATTTTTATGAGACTATTTGGTGTGGCTCAACTTATAGGGAGAAGAGTTTTTATCGCATCGTGTTCTGCTTCTCCTCACAGAAAATCGAACTATTTGCTCAATCTTTCTCTTTTTTGCGTATATGCAATTGATTTTAAATAAAAAATTGTCAAACAATTTTTCAAATTTTTTTTCCTGACTGCGTGTAATTGTTATTGTATTCTTTTCCTTCCTGGGTTTCAGTCAAAGTGTGAAATAAAAAGTTGTATATCGTTTCGGCGAGACAACAGCGCCATCATCAGAATTTTAAATCTGATGTTGCCAAACAATGTTTTCAGGATTTTTCGGCGATCATACGAGAAATTTCCAAAAAGGACTGAGGGAAAACATGCCGCACTCTGTGTGATTTCCTTTGGCTGTTTTTTGTTCACGGATTTGATTCTGAAGTAATAAGGCGATTTTATAGATGCAGATTGCCCTCAAATATTTGCCACTCATCGCGTAAACTACAAGTTTTTAAAAAAATCTACTTTGGGCCCAGAAGTATCAGAAGAAATGGCGAATTCTTCAGGTATTCAGTTTAGTGCAGTTTCTTGGGCATTTTCATGAAAACTTTAATCAAAGTAAGCGTCCATACAATGTCGAATATTTAGGCATAGACAGTAGATTCACTTGCCGATTGTCCTACCTAATGCATGCTCCAATTCCGGACACTTAACAATTAAACATGCAAAAAAAGCACGAAACAGTCGGTTCGACATGCAAAAGCGACAAGTGTTAAGTAAACAAACAGTTGCTGGAAAGAATCAAGCGATCTAGACGAGAGGATCATCAAAAGTAAAGCCTGAAAAATCGAAGCCAGTTCTATGTTGTGCACTATCGAGTGTTCAATCTACATTAGGCAAAAGTAGGTAAAATCGTTGGCACTTTTCTTACTTGTATCGGACTGATAATTTGGGCAGTGGGTTGCGTTCCGATCATGGCTTGCGACACTTGAACGCATTGGCCCTGTTGGGGTTGAGACTGAACTACGGCCCCCGTACTACTTGCGACCTTTTGCATTTGAACTTTTTGCGTGCCCATTACCTAAGTGACAAAAATGTTCTCATTTTCTCCACATTTCAGACTGGATCTCGGCATATAAGTCAGTAGTTTTGGGAGAAATTTTTCCAAACACTTCCTTTCTAAACAGTGTCAGTATCTTCTACTGCACGAGTCACATAAAAGTATGTGGGGATGTGATTGAAATCGCGCTCCTTTGAGCTGCTGGATCAACAAGTTGGATCAAAATCTATCTTCAGGAACGCAGGACTGTTAAGAAATCAAACTAAAGATCGCTCAGCTCACTGAACTTGACCAAGTATGGCTTTTTAAGACCGAGTTGGGCCAACTTGAGCAAGTACGTGAGGCACCTTAAAACTTTAAATAAAATTCAGTAGAAAAAACCTTCAAACAAAACTGCAATCTTGAAATGATGTCTTTTATGTGCGCTTTTGAAAATTCTGTTGCGTAATAACAACGAGAGCGATGTATTTGAAAATTTCGCATATTGCGGGAAAATTAGAAACAAAAATTGTTTTTAAGGGTTCAATATGGCCAAATTTGACCAACATTCATCCCCTACATTCGCAACTGCAATCAGACAACCGCTAATGAGCGAATCTTTGCACTTCCAACGCAAGAAGCTCAACAGGTTTTCTATTCTGGCTTGTATCATATTTTATCTGGAGTCCCAAGATTGATTGATTCATTTGATGACAACTTTCGGAGCCTCTGGGTTACAAGAATGAAAAGCATGGTTGCCCAAAACATACACTGCCAATACATGCAACATTAACAGCCAAAATAGATCCCAGCATAGAAACAACCGTTGATTAAGCAACAAAGTAAAAATGAATCAAAGTCAATGCACCGTTTGTTGCATAATCAAGCATTCAAACCCCCCTTGCGAGCCTAAAATTATGGTTAATCAGACAATTGCCACCAAAGAAAAATATATACAAAAACACATCGGTGTCCGTTAATGGAATGGAATAAAATTACACAAATCTAGCTTGGTATTAGACACTAATGTTTTACCTTTTGCATTTCGTGCGGCTTCTGCTGGGCAACTTGGGCATTTCCTTGCCCTGAATGGTTCGGCAGGATGTTCGGTTGAGAGCTAATCACCCCCAACTGGCTAAACACCAACGTCTGCTGATTTTGGGTGGTAGGAATGGTTGGAATTGTGGCATATCCGGGAAAAGTGGTGGCCTGACTACCCTGTATCACCTGCTTGCCCTGTGCGGCTGTGATCATGTGGGGCGCACTGATTTGATTGCCTTGGAACGGCTTTGTGATCACCTGCAATCCACCAGCAAGCTTGAGCAAAAATCCGGTTTTTTTCTTGCCACTTATCTTACCTGGATTTGTTGCGGATTTATGCTGGGGTGCAACGCAATGTTTCCAGGCATCAGCAACTGGCCTTGTGGATTATAGATCTGTTGCAGATACATGGGGTTTTGGGTCGGCTGATGAATCACTTGCACTCGTCCTTGGCCCCAATCAACCTAAGACATCAACAAATTATCGAAATGATTTTCAGTTAATTTTCTACCCGGTTTCAACGGCAAAATTCTTGCATTTGAACATAAATATGAAAGAGGAGGAGGACATCACTGTTTCAGGCGAAAAGTTTTGTATAAAAATATGTTTTTTAGTAGGAAACTTCGACATAAGCTGGTTATGTACAAAAATACCAATGAAGATTCTCAGTGAGAAAAGTTTTTTGGTGGTTTTAGCTCACGGGTGCGAGCAATGCATCGAACTGATTGAAAAACATGCTAGAAGTTTCAGATCCGAAATAATTGACATTTTCGGTACATTTTAAGCGTTTTTTGAGCGTTCACGAT